ACGCTGCCCGGTCCTGCGACATCTTCACCATCGCTGTGGACAACACAACGAACGCTGCCCGGTCCTGCAACATCTTCACCATCGCTGCTGCGCTTGAGTCCACTGCTGAAAGGTATTGTGTCGATCCATCTCGTGGAGTTTCCCTCTTTTTGCTGACCCTCTACTATACCAAACAGGATGTCCTTTTCTAGCGATTGGTCTTTCCTGATGACACGTCCAAAGTGAAAGAGTCAAAGTCACACCATCATTGCCAAGGAGCTTCTGGTTGTATTCCTTCTAAGACAGATTGGTTGATTCTTCTGGTAGTACATGGTGTATTAAATATTCTTCGCCAACACCACCACGAATGTACCAATTCTTCTGTTTTCCTTTTTCACTGTCCAGTTCTCACATGCATATGAAGCAAGTGAAAAGTCCATGCCTTTATCAAAGTGACATCTTTGCTTTCTAACACATTAAAGAAGTCTTTTGCAGTAGATCTCCCCGATACATCGTCTGATTTCTTGACTGCTGCTTCCATGGGCGTTGACTGTGGACCAAGTTGCACTGAAGGCACTGGTGAAAATTAAGGCTCTAGAAAGTGATGGAATACCAGCTGAGATGTTTCAACAAACAGATGTGATGCTGGAAGCACTTACTTGTCTATGTCAAGAAATCTGGAAGACAGCTACCTGGCCAACCGACCAGAAGAGATCCGTACTCACGCTCATTCCAAAGAAAGGCGAGATTAAGCAGAATGCAGAAATTATTAAACAATATTATTACACGCTAGCAAAATTCTGCTGAAAACAATTCAAAAATAACCGTAGCCATGTATCGACAGAGAGCTGTCAGAAGTTCAAGCCGGATTCAGAACAGGATGTGGGATGCTGGTGTCGGACAGGTCCTGGCCAAACAGAGAATACTGGGAATATGTCTACCTGTTGTTTTCTCAGCTTGGGACACAGGAAAGCAACCTCACAAAAGCCCGCTTACAATAAGAATAAGCCACGACCTAACGGCAGTGGCTGCAGGGCCGGGCCTCAACTGTCCAGTGGTCTTGGCTGAGGTGAGTGGACTCGACTTCGCCGCCGTCTGAGGTCAGGGAACCTGAGCACAGGGCCTCCAGCACCCAGCCACTCTCTCGCTGCCATGCCACGCGCTGTTCTCACCAGACCCTGGGAGCCCGAAGTGAGGTGTGGTCCTTTGCCAGGCCTGATTTCCCCAGCCTGGGGCAGTCAGCACTCGCTGAAAGTACCTGGCGAGCAGAGCACCCAATCTGCCAAACAGGACTGTGGGGTCTCCCAGCTCACTGGTGCCATGTGCCGGACAAGCCAGCTTCTTCTGGTGAAGTGCTTCTGGGTAAGGAAGCAATGGTGGGAGAGGGGTTTCCAAGAGGAGACGAACTCCTCACTAGGGGAGCCCTGGGCAGGGCAAGGAGACCCCCAAGTGTGTGTGGGAGGCGCCACCACCTGGAGGGAGCCCCAGGCAGAAGGGGCAGGCCCCAAGCACAGCAGAGGGCAGCCTTGGCAGGAAGCGCCCTCTGTACCAAGAGCATCCTTTCTCCAGGGCGAAACCTTGGGGACCTGCATTTAACTAAGGAAGGTGACTGGCCTGCACTGCTCAGAATTACCGTAAAGCTTGAGTGACAGACGTTTTCTCCACTAACGACAGCTGTTGGGGGCTGAGTGCTTGACCAACGCTGTTCCCATACTTCCTGGGAGGCCTTGCGCTGGAAAGGATGACAGGCGTGACTCTCCCAATGCAAAAGTGGGCGGACTGGTGGGGAAGTGTTATGTGGGGCAGTGTTATGGATTGAATCACGTCCCCAGAAAATACGTGCTGTGAATCCTAACCACTACGCAGGTGGTGCTTACAATCACATTTGGGAATGGGCTGTCTTTGTCATGATAATGAGGCAGGATTAGTGTAGGGTGGATCTTGAATCAATCTCTTTTGAGGTTTAAAAGAGATTAAACAAGCAATGGAAAGAAGCAGAGATAGGGGAAGAGAGATGCCAAGCCACAGGAAGATCACCCAGGCTCAGAAGAGGACCTTCCTCCAGAGCCGAGAGAGAGAGAAAGCCTTCCCCTAGAGCTGGCGCTCTGAATTTGGACTTCCAGCCTCCTGAACTGTGAGAAGATGAATTTCCGTTTGTTAAAGCCGTCCACTTGTGGTATTTCTGTGATAACAGCACGAGCTAAAAAATAACTAAGACAGGAAGCAAATGCTTTCTCCAAGGACAAGTTGTCACTACAGTGTTTCCAACCCAGTGCTAAGCTGTCCCTACAGTGTTTTCAACCCAGAGCTCTAGGCACAAATTGCAGCTTTGAGAAAATGTATTTATTCCTTCAGGAGCCCAAGAGGACCACACCAGGGCTTATTTTTCCACTAACTCTAAATTTTTGTGGTCCCTCCAGCTAAAGTCCCATGGCCCCAGCCCCTGGGCTGGCAGAGGCAAGCACTCCTCCGTCATATAACTCCTCGCACAGATGTTCCCGGGCTCCTACCGCAGGCCAGCTCGGTGCTGGGGAGCCTGTGATGTGAATCCTGATGGGGCCTGTCCTTTTTGAGGGGCACACAGTGCAATGATGGCAGGCAGGGCACCTAGCCCAGCCCAGGGGTGTGTTTGGGGGAGCTGCATGCAGGAAACAATCTGGCAGAGCCTGAAGGTGACCAAGAACAGCCAGCGCAGGGCCCCGATGTCGGAGCACACAGAGCTGAATCCTGAAGGCCACAGCGTGCAGAGAGGAGGCACTGCACCCAGGGCATACATCTGTGGTCACCCAGGGGTCTGTCCTCTCACCTTCCAGGGTATCCCAGAGGGTGGGAAGGGCCTGTGCACTCTTGTGCAAATGTGTTACAAGACTGTTGCTGGGAAGAGACTTTTAAGAGAGCAATTCTTAGGCCTTTTCTTTGGTTCAAAATCCAACCATCAGTGAATTTTATGGTATGTAAATTGCACCTCGATAAAGCTGTTTTAAGAAAACAAAAATTAAGTGACAATTTCATGCTGGTTGGGGTCTCCACCTGAAAGCAATTGCTGAGTCTCTAAAATTCCACTGCCCAACAGGTGACACATGCCCCCAGTCAAGCAGGGTCAGGGCGCTAGCCAGAGCACCTCTCCCTCAGATGGCTGCAGTCAAGCCGCACACCAACGCAAGCCGCCAGCTCTGACGCAAGAACAAGGCACTTGCCCTCACCTAGCACAGCTGTCCCGGGCGTCAGAGGACCTGCTTCCCCTGTCAAACACCCTCACTTCTGGCTAACGAGTCACCCTTTCATGAACAACAGCTCCGCTCTGCCGAGCAGTCTGCCCCAGCCCCTGCGCACTGACCCTGCGGTCCTCAAACTCCACGCACAGCCTCTGCTCTGGCCTCCCCGGCCTGGAAGTCCCCCGGGCGCTGCCTCTGGGCTGCAGCCAATCTCCAGGCCCTCACCCGTGCCGCCCAGACATTCACTGTCTGCATGTCCACCGGGCTCAAACGCCCCACACCGGGCCGGGAGCAGGCGGGCGGGCCCCTGAGGAACGCGCGGCGGAAGGGCTGGCCAGGCGCGGCGGGCACCAGGTGCGCGTCTGTGCACTCACCTGGCCTCGACCCGCTCCTGGGAAACAGCCAGGGGAGGGCTGACTGCGGGGTCTGGGGGTCAGGCGGGCGGGGGGGATCGAGACCTCAAAGGAGCAGGAAGGGACCGCGGCGCCCACAGGTGGGTGAGCAAGAGGGGCGCGGCCTGCCGGAGCGGCTGGGAAGGCACCCCCGAGGTCCGAGGGCCCTGGAAGCGGGGAGGCGGCGCTACAGAAAAGCTGCGAGGGGACAGGTGTGCGGGGACAGGTGAGTCCGCCGAGCGAGAAGGAGATGCTCACGGCACGCCGGGGCGGGTTCGCGAGGAGGGGCGCCCCGCCGACCCCCGCCCGCAGCACGCGGGCCGCGGCGTTCGCGAACTTTCCTGCGCGGCCGCGCTCCGAGTTTCAGTTTCCGGCTCCCCGCTCCTGAGAAATCCCCTCAGGCCGAGGGCGCGGGGTGGCCGCCCGGCCGCCCGCCGTCCCTCCCTCCCGGCCCG